CCTCCATAAGTGTGCGAACGTTGAAAGCAGCCAGTTAGAATGGTGCACGTGGTTTCAGAAAAACTGCTTCAGTACTCATATTCAGTGGTAGCATACATCTTTCAACCAGGCAGTGACTCGAGAACGTTCAGATAGAGCCGAATTTCCACCACAGGCGACCTACTGTATAAGTCGAAAAATAAGTATACAGAATGGGTATAAAAGAGGGTGAATAAATGACGTAGTAAATAATAATAGTAATAATAATAATGTCAGTCATTTGATTGTTATTCGGAGCAAGAAGAATATTTTCCATAAATAGAGTTCATCATTGCATCCAAGCACTTGTCGAATAGTAAAGGACTTGCTCATCTCTTTTAGAGTCCCATAGGTGCTGTATGCCTTAGTCCAGTATCCTGGACGCAACTGGTAGCAGACTTTTGCTCCACTGTTTGCCACACACATTGCACTTTTCAGAGTTGGTTACGACCTTCTTTATTCCAGATTGTCATTCCTTCATGTATTTTTTTTAAGTAACCTAGTTGGCTCCGTAGTCAAAAATTCACCCTTATCCTGAAGGGAGGTCGCAATAAAGTACTAACCCAATCAACTAAGTCACAAGCAATGGGTAAGTAAGCAGATAAAATGTAGCTCAGTATTCAAGTACGGATCTGATAACTGATCTTTAATGCAGTCTTCAGTAATAAGGATAGTAGCTTAATGAACCTGTGTTAATCCTGACAGATAACCTTCCAGTGAAGGTCCAGCTTCTCCTTGAAAATATTCACATATGGGGCTGATACCACTTGTTCGGATAAGGCGTTCCAGTCATTGACTGCTCAATGAGAAAAACGGGACCCCACTTTAAGTTTATTAGATCACAGTTTATGAACCTTCTTGCTATGACCTCGGAGATTATTAGTGCTGGAGGGAGCAAAAAGATAAGACATATTAACACCCAAATCATAATTAAAGATACGGAATGCCAGTATTAGGTTACCTCGCGTCCTGCGACACGACAAGGGGAAAAGGTTTAAGCGTTTTAAAAGCTCATCGTAAGGGAGTTTAGAAAGACCCTTCACCAATTTCGTTCCCACACGCTGACACGCTCAAGTGAGTTAGTATCCTTTACCAGACATGGGCTAGCTGATTGGACACAGTACTTGGATGCAGTACTCTAAATATGGTCTTACGTAGGTGGGATATAAAATTCGAAACATTTCCTCGTCAAAACATTTAAATTCTCGAAAAAGTGACCATAACGCACAAAAACCTTTAACAGCGGCTGCGCTGCAATGCGTAGTTGTTTTTAAGTCATGACTTATTATTACTCTCAAGTCTTTATGCTCTTGAACGCATGGAAGAGGTTTACCATCAATAGTATACTTGTAACTATTACCGAGACCGATGTGCATTAGCACACTCTTCCTAGAATTGATTTCTAAGCCCCAACCTCGAGCCCATCTAACTAAACCGTTTAAGTCAGCTTGAAGATCCACATGATCAGCCCCAATTTTTATTGTTCCGCAGATTTTTACGTCATCCACAAACAATACTGTCGACGACCTAAGCAACAGCGGTAACTCATTAACGTAGAGAAGGAAGAGCAGAGGGCCTAAGATGGTGCCTTGGAGTACACCACTTTTGACCGGCTTCCAATCGGATAGCGTCCCATTGGCCCTTTTTCTCTGTCTGCGGTCATATAAGAAATTTCCTATCCACTCCTGTACAGTACCTATTATTTCGAAGCTCGTGAGCTTCTGCATAAGACCTAAGTGTGAAACCTTGTCAAATGCTTTGCTAAAATCTATGAATATCACATCGACAGACAGGCCTTTATCTAGGGCTGCTATCCAATCCTCCCTCGCAATAAGCAAGTTAGTCAAGCAAGAACGCTTGTTACGAAATCCGTGTTGCTCAGGAGCTAACAGATTGTGTGAATCTATGTGGCTTAGCAACCTAACCCGAATTATCTTTTCGAGTAACTTAACGACTATGCTAGTTAGACTGACAGGCCGGTAGTTAGATACTATCTGTCGCTGACCATCCTTAAATATAGGACTAACTATAGCGTCCTTCCTATCTCTAGGGAGTTGAGCGAGTGAGAGGGACATGTTGAAGAGTGTCGCAAGCGGTTTTGAAATAATGTCCGCAAGAGATGATAGCAACCGTGGATGTAACCCGTCAGGGCCCGGTATCTTACCAGGTTTGAGGTTAGTTATCAACGGAAGGACAGTTTCCTCAGTCACCTGTACAGATTCAATGGTTGGTATCTCGGTGTGAGTGGGACAAGTATTTGTAACAATACACGTAGAGCATACTTCGCTAAAATAATCTGAAAAAGTCTCAGCTTTTGCCAAATCTGATTCGGCTAGTAAATCCGAATTTTCGCGTTATAGTAACAGGGAAATACTATCATTACATTTTGTTTGCCGTTTAACTTACGAAAACAATAGTTTCGGACAAGTACGGCTATCATATACCAATTGTCGTTCGTAAGTAGTACGGGATTTAGCTGTGGTCTTTACATATATTCTGGATATTTTTATGCGTGTCCTGTTGACAAGAGTAAGTCTCAGAAGTGTTTCCTACGCTTCAACAGCTTCCGGGTTTCCTTGTTAATCCATTGTGGGCAATGTGATAGTTTACGTGTTGACCATGGAATGAACGGTGATGTTACAGACTCGAATGTAGCCTTAAACTTATTCCATTCGTTTTCGATCGATCTATCCACGTCAACCGACCAGTCAGTCGACATAGCATAGTCTCTGATTGCCGGAATATTAGCTCACCAGATATTGGGACGGGGTGGAGCAGATGCAACTTGCATGATCACTATTCACTTATGGGGTGAGGCGCTGAACGTCGATGACATCCTCTTAGTGGTGTACTAGGACCAAGTCGAGCAATGACGGGTCATGTTTTAAGTCGATATGTCTCGGTTTTGCGATACATTGTACAAGTGCACAACGGATATTGGTTGATAGAAGGTCGCTATCGAAACCCTCACCTGGAGCTGTAAGCTCTATCCAGTTGATATGCGGTACATTGAAGTCTCCAATGATGAGACATTGTCTTACTCCAAGAACAGATGTATCTAAAGATCAAGTCGTCAGAAAGACAACACGGACTACAGAATATTGTTGGTCCTTCACGACTCCCTGGTTGGGGTCTGAGAGATGATGCTACACAGTGGCTAGAGACGTTATCAGATATGGCTCAGAATAGAAGCCAGTGGCGATCCTTCTGTAACCTTCTTTTACTTTCTTCATCAAAAGTGGTTAATCTACCTTAACTGAGAGATTTCTTCTGATTGTACTTTTCCGTCTCCCCCATCATTATTATTGTTAGTATTGTTATTACACTACCTTACACTAATCTGGTCGTTATTGTTCTTTTTTTCTTTTACGCTCCTTACTTTCTGTTTTTTCTCTTCGAATTCTCAATGTTTTTTGCGGCTCATATATATTTGGTACCCTCTTGTACCAATATTTATGTGTTCAAATAAAAATAAGTAATACGGTATATTGTCCCTATAGTTAATAACCCGTTTCTGGACCTAATTGTGCAACATCCTACCTCACATGTACCACTAACTTGCACCTCCGATATGATTGATTGTATACGAAAGTGATCCTCAATATATAATATTATGCCTCCTGCCCTGCGACTTAACTCTTTATCCCTTCTAATACAGAAGTAACCTGCAGTGATGGAAGAACAGTCTATATCTACGGCGAGCCAAGTTTCTGTGACGACAATTATATCGGAACTTAATTCATCCACCATCAGACTTAGCTCGGACGCTTTATTTCAAAGACTATGGGCGTTCGTGTAGCACACTTTTAAGGTGCTTTGGGAATTATTCGTTCTACCCATACAGGTCTCAGAAGCATTGGCTTCCAAGATCTGACTACCCGAAGACCCTTAATCGTAAGGTTCGTTTCGCCATTTATATTTCGAGTTCTTAACTCCGTAAAAACATTCTTCTACTTGGTTCGATCCTCAAGCGGCCAATTCAGTCGGATGCGAATATTTGAGTCACGAGTTTTGTGTACGTTTTTCAATATTATGTCTCTTTCCTTAAAATTCTCGAGTGCCAACTTCAAGATCCTTCTTGGTTGGGTCTCGCCTCCAACCCATTTACCGAGTCGTATTACCTTCGTGATATGTACCCCTGAAACTTATTCAGGCAGTACATTTCCGACTACAGGTTGCACTAACTGCAAATCGCGTGCATGTCTTACTTTGGGACTTTGGCGGAGTGGTTTTGGCTACGTTTCCGCGTCATCCATTTCCTATCAGTTTCAACATCTCGGAACGGTAATGGTTTTGTCAGGATCGTCAGTCGCTGCTGTAGCAAATTGGCCCCCAATATCTAATAGTTTAACGCTGATTAATTGTTTCGGGGTAGAAAGCTCGATTTTGTGTTGCACAGTTGGGTATCTGGCAAGTGCCGTGACAGCACTTACGACACTGACGCAATCTTCGCCTTCAGTACCAGCGCAACCACCATCTTTCTTCTTACAGGTTAGAGCTTTTAGGTTCATAACCTCCTGGATTAACAACGTCTTATTTGTACAGCAAAACATGCAAAGCACATGCGAGTTAGGCTTCGAGCATCTTTTGTATGTGGTGAGACTTAAACGGGTACACATCTTATTGAACCACTTTTTACACTCATCGCACTGCATTCCTTCGTCCACTGGGAACAAACAGTTTGGCTGTCCATATTTATAAGTACAACTAACCACCGTAATCAGATTAAGGTTTAAAACACAGTATGGACACAAGTGTCAGTCAATGAGAAAGAAGGTACCACAAGACAAAGTTTGGCAAGATTTCAAACCTTCAAGTTAGAGTGGACCAAGAATGCTTTTGATGCAAAAAGTACACAAAAGCAAGAATAATCACAACAAGTACAAAATCACTACCCTTTTAATTAGTTTTAATTTATTTCTCAATGAATAGACTTTTGGAGAGTGTTATTTTTTATATCATTTAGGTGCTGAGTGTTCAGTATGTCGTCAGAAGATGATTGGTCGAAGTTGCCCACTCTGTCCAAAGTACAGCACAAGGTACTTAACATTCTTCTATCTTAATCCTAACCCTAGCTCTGGAACGCACGTGTGGCAGGATACGAAGAAGCGTTCAAAATATTTTCAACAGAGACAAATGGAAAAAGTCCTGTTTTTAACGAATATGTTGGATTGATGAAGAAGTTCGTGACTGATTCTCATGCTGGAGCTCAGGAAAAAGCTCTAGATGCTGTCTTAACATACATAGAAACAGCTGCAGCAGCTACAAAGTAACTTTTGAGTTTTCTCCAACTTTTGTTAGATGCGCTGGAGATATTTGTTCTGGTATCATATCAAAATGTCTGGGTTCTACTCGAATGAAAACAAAAGACAAGTCAATTGAGTGCCTATTGATGCTGATAGAAATTGAGCGTCATGAATTAGTAATAGAAGAGCTCATTAAAGGTTTATCAACTAAAAATCCAAAGGTTGTTGTCGGAAGCTTACAGACTCTTCGTGAAGCTCTAAAGTGAGATTAATTTCACTAACTACTTATTTGTACGTAGTCTTTTTGGTCCAACTGTTGTTCCGATCAAACCTCTTTTTAAAGAGTTTGGACGACTACTTGATGATCGAGACCAAGGGATCCGGAATGAAACGAAAAATCTCATCGTTGAGGTTTACAGATGGATAGGAGTAACCACAAAAGACCTATTAAAGGATATCAAACCAGTTGTGGTATGTATACCAAGTGTAGTTTTAAAAACGACATTTAGATGACTGAGTTATGTGAATTATTTAACTCTATTCCACCCGGAAAACCTGTTCGATTAAGATATTTACGCAGTCAAAAACCTAAAGAAATTACTCCAGATACTGGGGCTGAAAGTAATCCCATTGATGGCGCTATTCCAGGTGGAACTTTAACCGACCAGGTTGATTTGGATGATATGATTACTCCTGTTGAAGTTCTTAGCAAAATCCCCAGCGATTACTGGCAACAAATAGTAAGTTCTTCGTAATAAGGTTGATTCCGTCTTTCAGGGGGAAAAGAAGTGGCAAGATCGGCGTGACGCTTTAGAGGCACTTGAAAAAATTACGAACGTTCCTCGGATTGTTCCAGGTGATTTCACAGACCTCGTAAGAAGCTTGATTCAGGTACGTTGTGACCTAATTATTTCTGGAATCTGCAGGTTGTAAATAAAGATACTAACATAATTCTAGTGACTCTTGCTGCTAAAATTTTGGGACAAATAGCAAGAGGTTTAAAATCTAAGTTCAGTCCTTACTCCCAACAAACCTTACAAGCGTGTTTAGGGAAGTTTAAAGAAAAGAAACCTAATGTTGTTCAAGCTCTAAGAGAATCTGCTGATGGTGCTGTATCTTCGGTATGTTTTTTTATTTGTACATAAATAAGGTGGTGTTTCAACATTTCATATTGACATACAAGTTTACTAGGTCTCACTTTACATTTGATTTTTTTTCCAAGGTAACTTGAATTTTCTGTTTTCAAATATCCATAGTTTACTTGAGATTTCAGCTCTTTAAGTTGAATATCTGATATACTTGAACCTCATTGTGTCTCTGTCTAAGATCCTTTTCGGTATGTTGTCGTGTAGCAATTAGTATGAGTAAATAACTTGACTGACAAATATTTAATATTTAGTATTATTTATTTGAACACATAAATATTGGTACAAAGGGGCACTGAATACATATGCGCCACACGAGTCGCTTGATTCGTTTGCGGGTTGTGATACTGCCCGGGTGCCCAGATCGGAGCAGGTGGTCTGATCCACTAGGCAGTGGAGCAACGTTAGGAGATGCAGTCCCATGGTAGCCGGTGACCAACAATAGGTTCATATACCATCTGTTCCTTCAGAATCCTGCAGCCCATGTGCACCATTGGTTTGGAATCAAGGCTTTCCAACTCCCCTAAGTAGATCCTTCGTGTCCACCAACCCGGTTAGGACGTCGGACATTCGCTCTTCGTCCTCTCAATTTTGTAAACAACATCCTTGCCCCGAGAAGGCAGTGAGTAGGACTTACCTGGCAGTGGCTATATACGTGTAGTCATGTAAGAGCATTTCAAGAAGAGATGACTCTCCGACATATATTTCAGTTTAAATTTGAAATTTTTGTTCATTGATTTATAGTGACATTCTGTTTTGGTTATCCCTATTGATTCAGTCAGTCAGCTACAACGTAGGACCAGGCACATATATGCATCGGTCCAGGTTGCCATACCTCATTAGCACAGCAAGATAAACACCGGATTCATAGGAGTGGTTAGGTCAAAGGTGGTAATATATAGGAGAAAGATTGCATATAGAGATATAGTACAAGAAGAAAAAATTGGTTCGTAGAAAGAAAGGTATGAAGTGATTTTAATCTCTTAGTTTAAGGGAAGACAGGGAGTGTATACACCGACGCCATTGTGATAGATTCTGAGCCATGTCACCAAGAGTCTCCAACCATTGGTTACGATAGTCACGCGGACCCCAACCAAGTAGTCTGCATCTAACAACATGGCTCAGACTAGAAGTTAGTGACTTCAAGCACTGATGCCACATTTTGGTTTGGCCGCCCCTTAACTTTCTTCCAACCATCTCCAATACCGGATAGCATTGCACGTCGTGGTAATCGGTATTCAGGCATACGTAACACGTGACCCAACCATCTCAGTCGATGAAGATTAACAACCTCATCAACTGATTTACCATCATTCTCTAATACCCTGCGTCTAACCTCACTATTACTTACCCGGTGATCCCAGCAGACGCCAGCAATATTTCTAAGGCATCTGTGGTCAAATACTAGTAGCTTACGAGTGTCTTCTACTCTTAATGGCCATGTTTCGCTGCCGTAAAGTAAGACAGAACGGACTGCCGCGCAGTATTCTCGTCTTCTTATTGATAGACGAATATCTCGCCTTCGCGAAAAATGACGTAAGTTGGCAAAAGCCAAACGAGCTTTTCGAATCCGTGCTGAGATTTTGTCAGACACCAATCCGTTTGGGCTGATCAGACTTACAAGATAAGTGAAGTTGTCGACGCGTTCGACTACTTTACTCCCTATCCTTAGTTCAGGTGTTGACGTAGGACAGTCCAGAAGCAACAACTTGCATTTAGAGGGAGAGAAGCGCATTCCAAACATTCTGGCATTGTTGCTTAGTGCTGCCAGAAGACTCTGCATTTTGTCAGCGTCTTCACCAAACAGGACTATGTCATCTGTGTATTCTAAGTCAATAAGTGGACCTCCTGTATGGAGATCAATACCCGAGAATTCAGTCGACGAGAATGTTATTTCCATCAGTAGGTCTATGATGAAGTTAAACAGAAATGGAGAAAGTTGACAGCCTTGACGGACACCACTTGAGGTTGCAAAAGTAGATGGCAGTTCGCCATAAGCTCTGACTCGACTAGTAGTGTTCGAGTAAAGAGCCTTTACATGGTTTATGTACTTCTGGGGTACGCCTTTCAATGACAGACACTGCCACAGAATCTCGCGGTCTACCGAGTCAAATGCTGCTTTTAAGTCAAGAAAGACCACCATTGTCGGACGTCGATAAGTATGTCTGTGTTCTAGAACCTGACGAATAGTGAATATGTGGTCGATGCAGCCACGACCAGGTCTGAAGCCAGCTTGATTCTCTCGTGTTTGCAGTTCACGAGTCTTAGTTAGGCATCTGCCCCCGAATGCCCTGGTACGGCCGAGAGTGGGGTGAGTCTGCTCTCCCTCTCGAAATACTCTCACACGGCCGCGCGTATACAGCCTCTGCCAGGTAAATCCTACTCATTGCCTTCTCATGGCGTGGGTGTTGTTTACGAAAATGAGAGGACGAAAAGCGAATGTCCGGCGCTTTAACCGGATCACAAACCAATGGTGCACATGGGCTCCAGTATCCTGCGGGAACAAATGGCGTATGAACCAATCTTTGGTCACCGGCTACCATGGGATTGCATCTCCTTACGATGCTCCACTGCCTTGTGGGTTAGACCTTTAGGTCAAAGGCTCGGGGTATGGCCCCCTAAGAAAACCACCTGCTTCGGTTTGGGCACCCGGGCAGTATCACAGCCCACACACAAACGATGAACTCTATGTCTTTGGCAACTACTTTTATCGCTCCGAAAAACAAAAACAATCAGTCGATTCAAATAATTATCATTAGTATTATTGTCATTATTAATGCTATTATTATTACTATTATTGTCGTTATTATTATTATTATTATTATTATTATTATTATTATTATTATTATTATTATTATTATTATTATTATTATTTCCCACATTATTCACCCTCTTTCATACTTATACAGCGGCTCGGCTTTGGTGAAATCCGACTGTATCTAAACGTTCTCGAGTCACTGTCCGGTTGAAAATTGTATGTTACCATCGAATATGAGTACTGAAGCAGTTTTTCTGAAACCACGTGCACCATTCAAACTGGCTGCCTTCAACGTTCGCACACTTATGCAGGTTGGTCAACAGATAGGGCTGGCTATGTCTTTGGAAAGTCTTAATATAGACGTTTGCTGTCTATCCTAGACCCATATTCAAGACCGGTGAAGTACTACAAATTCGCTCTCCATCTGTCGCTTCGAAAAGCTTGTTTCATCACCTGAATTTATCCAGGGACCCTGTGGCATCTTCATTTGGTCTTGATGGCGTTGGTGTCGCACTAAGCGCTAGAGCTGAGGCAGCACGAATCGATTGGATCCCCATTAACAGTCGGTTATGTGCTGTTAGATTAGAAAGTTCCATCAAAGTGAGAAGAAATCGGCATGAGAAACGATGTCTTTTCGTCATCTCCGCCTATGCCCCGACAGATTGCAGCCCGGATGCAATCAAGGATGAGTTTTACCACCAATTATCTGTTCTTCTCCAGAAAGTGCGTTCGACAGATATTGTAGTACTAGCCGGAGACTTGAATGCTCAGGTCGGGCGTCTAGGCACAGAAGAGAGTCGTTTAGGTGGCCGATGGGGACTCGTTGGTCGCAGGTCAGATAACGGGGACCGTCTACTGCAACTTTGCACAGACCACAACCTGTTTCTGGCTAGCACTAACTTTCGGCACAGTCATCGCCGATGTTCCACCTGGCGTCCTCCCTCTGCATCTCAAGCCTGGACTCAGATTGATCACATCGCGATCAGCTACCGCTGGCGTGGTTGTGTACAAGATTGCCGCTCCTTTTGGAGTACCTATCTGGACTCTGACCATGCCTTGGTCTGCGCCAATCTTGCTTTACTTTTCAGTGGCCAATGAAGTGACCACCACGAAAAGATTGATGTTAGCAAGCTGGTTGCAACTTCTGTTGCAAATAAGTATCGAACCGAGCTAGTTTCTAGGCTAGCTAACATTCCACGGAAAAGTATAGATGAGCATTGGTTGCAATTGCATGACGCCATGGAAATGGCGAGTAAAGTCAGTTGTGGGTTCGCGAAACGTCCCGCTTTTAAGCACTGGGTTTCTTCTGGTTCCTTACAACTCATCAAAGCCCGTCGGTCTACTCCGGGTGACCGTGAGTTTGACCACAATCGAAGGATGTTACGTAATGAAATCGGGCAAAGCTTGCGTAAGGACCGAGAAGCCTGGTGGTCGAAGCGTGCTAATGAGCTGAAAGCAGCAGCTGCATTTGGTAATTACCGGAAGCTCTCCCAACTCATCCGAGCCACTGGCAGCAAGAAGTCTGGTGTGAGTGAAACAATCTGCGAGGATGATGGGATGCCAATCGCTAACATCCATCGACGTCTTGGACGGTGGGCAGAATTCTTCGAAGGGCAGTTCAACTGGCCTGCTACTCCGGCAACATCAGTCAGACTGTCCTGCCCTCCATGGCCGGTGACGACTGATCCACCAAATGAGGCGGAAGTCCGCAAGGAACTCCAACTCTTGAAGCGTTACAAATCACCTGGCCCAGATGACTTACCTCCGGCTCTCTTTAAAGATGGTGGTGACTTTTTGACTAAGGAATTGACGACGTTGTTTGCAAAGGTTTGGGAACTAGAGAGTGTGCCAACGTCATGGAATGAGTCGATAGTTGTCCCTATCTTTAAAAAGGGTTCACGTCGTTCCTGTAACAACTATCGGGGGATAAGTCTACTTCCGATTGCGTCCAAGCTATTGGCTTCCGTCATACTTCGTAGGTTGTTCAAAACCCGAGAAAGATTGACTCGCGAGGAGCAGGCTGGGTTTCGTTCTGGTCGAGGATGTATTGATCATATCTTCACCCCCCGCCAAATGTTAGAACACCGCCATACTCATCAAAGGCCAACAATCGTAGTGTTTCTTGACATCAGGGCTGCCTTCGATTCGTTGGACAGAACTGTCCTCTGGGATTGTCTATTGAAGAAGGGTGTGCCTGAGAAGTTTATTAACATCCTAA